TGTTTTTCTTCAAATTTTCAGTCGAAGTCTGCTCTCTTCTCAATGTTACAGACTGCAGCTTTAAGTAAAAAAATATTTAAAAAATAAAAATTTTTTTCATTTTAAAATCTAAAGTGTTTTTTTAAGTAGAGAACAACAATCGTTCAGTTTGAACGTGAAACGTTAGCCTTTACATGCAAAACCCAATCAAGCACCGCAACATATTTTTGCAAAATCTTTGAACATACATTTCCCAAATATAAGAGGAACATCGTAGTTTGGTTTAAAGAAAGCATTTTAGTTTTATTATAATTTAGTTTGTTGCAAGGATTTTACAGTTTGAAGAAATAGAACATTACACCATATGCCAACCGTCAAAAGGATGTGCATGACAAGGAAGGGCTATATATACTGCATGCATCATTTAGAAAGCTGACATTGTATTACTTCTTGAGCTCTTGAGTTACTCACTGTCACTGGTAGGTGCTTCGGCCAGAGAGTAAGTGTTGGGGCCGGTAAGATTTAAGGAGGGCTGGCCATCACACACTGAATTTAGGACCACGTTAACAGGATTTGAATGGAGACAAAGCCCCTACTTTAGCAAAGACTAAGAGTCTAATGGACCAAGAGTGACAATCTGAGGTTTGAACCAGCTCCCATATGGCCCCTCCAAGAGTCCAGTGACCTGCTCTCTACTCATAAGGCCACCAACCTCTGTACAATTCTCTATATTTTTATGGTTTTAAAATTTAATAAGCAATATTTCTACTGACAATTCCTAAAAATACCTGTACTGCACTCAAGACATCCATCCATTTTCTAACACCCTTATCCCAAGTGGGGTCGCAAGGGGTGTCTAGGTCTCCAGCTGTCTACTGTACGGGCGAGAGGCGGGGCACACCCTGGACAGGTCGCCAGTCCATCGCAGGGCAACACAGAGACAAACATCCATTCACACACACACTCACACCTAAGGGGACTTTAGAGAAGCCAATTAACCTAACGGTCATGTTTTTGGACTGTGGGAGGAAACCGGGGAACCCGGAGAGAACCCACACATGTTCAGGGAGAACATGCAAATCCATGCAGAAAGACCCCAGGGCTGGGAATCGAACACAGAACATTCTTGCTGCAAGGCAGCAGTGCTACCCACTGTGCCACTCAAGTCATATTTTCTAAATTATTTTACTCGAAAGGAAGTCCCTTCCTCATGTATTGCTCTAAATGTTTGATGATAAAGTAGGGGCTTTAATGTCCAACAACGGTGAGTATAAAATGACTATTTTGGTGAAATGAAACCCATTTCTGGGAATAAAACTCTGAAAAGGTAAAAGTTGTACGTTTATCTATGTTAATACTGTTTATAACCTCTGCTTCTAACACCAAGCTGATAAAAAGGCTTTACATAAAAGTCATGATTAGAATTAGATGGAATTAATTTCCTCTGTCCTTTCAGCAGATAGAAAAATGAACACAAATCTAACAGTAGCTAATTTACTTTCTCATGCTGTTATACCATTTATGTGACAAAGAGTGTACAGGTCCATCTTTAAGAAACAAAACTGCTGGAATCAGAAAAATTAAACCGTTTTCTATTTCATATACGCTCCAACTAAACATTAACAGAAAACATTCTCTTTCAAGTCATTCCATTTCTCCACTCTGATCTGAAAGACTTCTTAATGTCGTCTGTAGCCACGCTCTAAAAGGGATCTGACACAACTGCTGTAAAATTTAAGTTCACAAAAAGCCCAACGGGTAATGCTGACAGGCTATTTAAAAATGAAGCGTGTCTTTCAGTAAATCGAGCCAAACGCTTGATTGCTGAAGTAATGATGTGACAATCGATACAAAAAGCCGCTTCCCTCACATTTCCTCATTTTCTTTGTTGTTTGCCATTCAATTCCTTATATGCAAACAAATGAAATGATTGAACTTGTTAGCTTTGCAGATTTTTCTTCTTTTTATTTTCCCCCGTTTTCATTTCTGCATTTCAAATACAAATTTAAACCCTGATCTCCGTAAAATTGCCTTTGGGTTAGGATTTAAAAAATCTTACTTGCATGAAACAGCATTTGCTTTTTGCAGATATCAACTTCGGAAAGCGCATGCCTATATTGGAAAACACAACAGGACAACAGTTTAGCACGAAACTGTGACTGAAATATGCAGCCATGCAATCCATGGAACATCAAATTTCCGTCCATTCATTGTATTTTAACCAAATTGTAATTGAGATTTGTTCTGCATCTGCTTCGGAGTGCAGCACTGTGCACTGTGTTTGTCACAGAAAGAGTTTTATCTGAAAGGTATCGTCTGTCCGTCAGCTGATGCGAGTTCCTGTCTCTCATAACACCGCTGGAGCTGTGGGAACGTCTCTGTAGTGTACAACTGTGACGCAACTTCAATTATATTGTTGCAGGGTCACATTGTTGTGAAATGGATAATAGCTGCTATCAAATTAGGATACTTAATGTAACAGCTTGGCTTTTTTAACAAACCACAAATGTCCTTCATGATCTGTTAAAGATGCAATTGTTTAGCATAACTAGATTTTTTTTTTTTTTCTCTCTCTCTTAGCTCTGATAATAGCATCAATCATAATTTCTTTCACAGTAACACTTTCACTTGCAGGGAGACAGATTTTTCTTTTTAAGCAACTTTTTACTAATTTGGCAGAAACATATTGTTATGGAAAGAGAAAAAGTATCTCTTACTATTACGTGTCGAAAGTATTTGCTTGTTCTTGTTGGAATAAGCTGCTGTATTGTTATTGCATGTAATTAAGAATATCTAAAAGGTTTACGCTTCAATAAAACAATAACATCAGAGACAAAACATTGGTATCCTTGAACAACATAATCAATACTTAGATAACAGCTAAAAAACAAAACAAAAAAACCCCAAATTTGATTATGACTGAGAAATCATTTACTATTTAAGGGGTGAAGCATTATCATTGTATATGAAAAGTAAAATAAGTAATTATTGACCCTGTTGCACAAATTAAATACCTAAAGTGAAGCTGTGCCTTAAAGATCCACTAAATATTTAACTGTGAGATTCCTCAACAAGGCGTATTGATCCAGCTTAGAGTTATTCTAGCAGTTATACATTTTTTATACACACTCAATCCCTGCAGGTTTGAAAGAAAAGGTTATCTAAGCATATTTATAAAGGTACTTCTACTAATTAATAGACAAGCCCTGTATGAGTTTTTTTTTCTTTGTATTTTTGGTAATAGTATAATCTTAAATAAAGCAAAAAAAGTTCAATCTCTGTATAACTTAAAAGTTATCAAAATATAATTTAGGTGAAGCCGAAGCAAGTAACCTTGCTCTAATTAGGAAGTAACTGATTATTCATAAAAACAAGCATACTGCTAAGCACAAAATAAGGTTGATTCAAGTCAGAAACAAGTCCCCTTTCTATCAAGTAACCATAAATAAATACTATTAGTAACAGATAATATCCTTCAAAATACACATTTTCCAGAGCCAGTCCTGTTATGTCAAATCAAGCAAAGAAAAATTATGCAAAACAGAACTATTTTGTTAAAAAAAAAACACAAGGTGCAAAAGAATAAATCATCACAGAAGAAGCATCTAAGTGAATCCATGTTCCTCTCTGCCTAAGAATAGTAATAAATCAAGATCATGATTATTTGAAAATTAGAAAAGCATGAGTTTGAGCTAAACAACTACAATGAACTATAACTGCTAATATGGGATTGGAGAGTCATGTACTGGAATACAGACAGGAAGTTAAGGAAACAGCAGGAGACTGTAATGCACAGGTAGTGGATTCATTATTTTATCCTCTAGAAGCTGATATAAAAAACCTCAACAAATGTTGATGCTGTTAAAATTTTCCCCAACAACCTCGCTGGTGTTCCCACAGTGAAATAATCAGGCTGAGCACAGCTAATGAATTGCTTAGGTTAACACTTGGGCTGTGACTAACAATTATTTTGCAAATCGATTCATCCGTTGATTATTTTTTTCATAATTGGTTAATAATCGGATAGCCAACGATTCTTTAAAGAAGGCTTTTTACCAAATTAAACCAGGTGAAACTCAAGCTTTTCCAGCTGAGGATTTCTGGGTGGAGCATATTGTCAGAGAATATATATATATCTTTTATCTTAAATGCACAATGTTTGTATATTTTTTCACAATCTCGGTATAATTATTGCTCTAAGTAGGTTGCTCTGTAATCTGAAGACATGTTTCTATACTGCAGTTAACAATCAATCAATTACTAAATTAGTTGACAATTATTTCAATAATCAAATAATCTGTATATAATCTGTAAGTAAAACTTCTGAATGACTTACATGAATTTAGAACCCAAAGTGATCTACAGGGTCCCCCCCCCATGTAAAATGTCTGTGTTTCTGTCTTCTTGGAGCGGCTGTACCAAAACTGAATTTCCCTATGGGATTAATAAAGTATTATTGAATTGAAATAGATGTCTTAAATATTCAAACAATCAAATGTTTTGTAGTGTTTGTGTGGCAGTATGGATAAACAGTATGGAAATTAAACAATTATGGAGTGACAGAAGATTGGAAACAATGCAAACTAACATTGCTGGTTTGAAAAACAATTTATTTTTTTGAGTTTTTACGGCTTGTTTTTTTAATAACTTTTTAGTGGCTCGTTTTTCTGATAGTAGGCTGACAGAAAGGGGGTGAGACATGCGGTAAAGGTCACAGGCCGGATTCGAACCCGGGTCAGCCGCGTCGAGGACTAAGTGCATGGGTCATGTGCAATTTTTTTATGCGGAATTTAAGATTTATGACAATTTTTTTTTGTATCAAAAAACACCTAAAAATTAAGGGATTTTTAAATGCCTATGGCACTGACACAACCTTAGATTGACTAAAAAATTTGAAAAAAAAATTGACTAAAAAATTTGAAAAAAAAATACATATATAAAAAAGTCTGTTGATAACTGAATTATGTTAAACTGCTATCAAGTTGTGTAGAACTGTCTGTAATTTGTGAAATCTTTGCAAAACAAAAATCTTTTTTAAATTTTGTCCAGTGAAAAACATATTCTGTATTGTCCCATTTCATGGGCTTAATTTGCTGTTAATCCCCTTCCACCCTTTATATACTAAAACAGTTCAATCAGATTATGTGTACATATAAAGCTCCTTCTTTGCAAGTAGTGCAGAATGGGTCTATAAAATAGTTTCTCTATACAAAAGATAATCAACTTAGAATTATATATAATACCATGGCTCACCGAATGCATTAATGGTTCAACATTTAAAAACAAAAACACCTAATATTTCCAGCATAACCTAACAGCTACAAGCTTTATCTTTCAAAAAAAGGAGCTCTGTGTTGAAAGGGAAAAGAAATAAGTGGGGGTCAGGGATCAAGCAAAAATCAAATGTAAATAAAATCAGCTTGAACTCCTGCCAATCGATACCAAGCCAAGTCTTGAAAAAACCTGATTCCCAAAGTCCCCACACCCACAAAGAAAAATAATGATTTCCTGTTTCTCACTCTAAAGAGCAGCCGTGGTAACCTCCTCAACTTCCGACACATCTACCTCCTAAGGTAGAGATGCCCCACTCCTCACACCATCATCTCTGCTGTCTCTTGTGCTACACTCACATTCTGTTTTCATCTCCAACTTCACGCTGGTTTGGGGTTTCAGCTTCATTTCTAATTCAGCAGTTTGCAGGGGAAACGAGCACAGTTTGAGCTGAGGTAAAGCTTTTTTTTATTCTTAAGAAGCTTGGGAGGATTTACCTGTACTCTTGGATGTCGTGGGATTTTGCACTGCCTGCGATTTGCTGTGGTACCCCCTCCAACGACATTTTGTGGGTGAGCTGGCTGCTTGGTGTCACGTCACACTCACTCTCCTCTGGCTCTTTATCGTCATATTCATTTAAACTCGGTAGTAATCCAGACACCCCCTTTTCATTACCAGAAACAGGGCTCTGGTCACTGCACAGCTTGGGGCTCTCTCCTCCTGTCCGTGTGTATTCCAAATATATATCAGATTTAAGGAACAGAGGATAAGTGTTTTCCTCCATCCTGAGCTGTATCTCAGTCTGAGCCTGGTCAAACATTGCAGGATCAATGTGTAGCCTAATCAAACAATCTCTGATGAAAGACTTAGTAGCTGGTTTGATTTGTCTGGAGACGATTCCATTGTTGTCCTGGATGTACTTTTTGTAGATAGCTTTCGCCAGTTTTACTTTCTTCTCCTCGTTCCCCTCGTTGGCTTCTAGCTTACGGAAGCCACTGCATGCAAACCAGAAGTCCAGCATATCTGCACAGTCTTCATTCTTGAGGAATTTTCGGAAGAGATGGATGCCATCCTGGTCATCCAGGAGGGAATGAAGAGACTCTGCCCATTTTAAGTAGGGTGGCGTCGGGGAAGCACTGCCCTCTGGCTCATAGCCCAGATCCAAGTCTGGCCGTCTGGGTGTAGCCACAGAAGCTTCACTTTTGGTGCCCTCGTTCTTGGAGGAGAAGGTGAAGTTGCTGTGTTGGCGACCATCGCTGCACACCAGCTCTCCTTCCTCCCCGGGAACCGGAGGTCTGGGAGCATTCTCAGTAAAGCTGCCTCCCAAGTCTGAGATGCAGCCTCTTTGGTCGTTTATGCTCATAGTCCCGGCATCCATGAATCCTGGAGTGCCCACAGTGCACAACTGTTGGATCCAGTATTCTAGTTATGTTTCTCTGGAAAATCTCCTGCAAGGAGGGAGAAATATATCATGAGAGGCAGCTCACATGACCGGAAAGGCAGATCATCGCTAGCCTCGTCATACAAAGGCTCATTCTTAGACTAATGGTGAATCAGCAAATGATAAATTGAATTATCACACATGCATTCACAAAATTATGTATAACATGTGTGAATATACTACTGGAGCAATAGGTTTAAAGTACTTTAATTACATACTGTGAAATTTTGAAAACTGTCCTAATAATAGCTGGTTAATAAATCAACATAAATATACATATTTCAGTAGACACAGGAACGATATCAATATAAAATACATCTGATAAAACTCCAGGGTATATAAGCAGAGGAAATAAACCGCTCAACCTCTCATAAACAAACTGTAAAAGGTTGGTAGTACGGCTGACCTATTTTTAAAGGTTATATTTAAATAAGGTTAGGGTTACACTTTTAATGTGGCCTTTTTTTCTCCCGGTCATTATTTCACATAGGTTAACAAAACACTAATCAATAATCATCACAGCTACTAGAAGTATCAAGGCTTGTATCGTGATTCATTTTTCAGTTTTATTACCCAGCCCTAATATTTACTGTAACTTGTCTTTATGTCTTCAAAAAAAGATTTTCTTATGATCTTTGTCATTTTTTTTTTTATTTCAGCCCTACACAAGTAAAAGAAAATATTACCAAATATGAACATATGATGCAGAAAGAAAAAAAAAGGATAAAAAATATATAGAAACATATCTTCCTCACAGCCTATCCCTGCAGGGTCACAAATAAAAGCGCGCGGTCATACTCTCAGCTGGTTGCAGGTCTGGGCTCTCTCTTCTCTGCAGGGCGTGACGGGCAGGTGCTCCCCATCACCGCTAATTAGAGCCTTTCTTAAGGAGTGGAAACCAGGAGGAGGGCATCAGTTCTTTCTCGCTTCCAGCGTGGTATTTGACCGACCAATCTCTTTTCTGAGTTACCTCCAAGCCAGTTCCTAATTCCGTGTCTCTGTTTCCTTCCTAGAACCATTGAGAACCTCCAAGCCTGGACCTCCTAATCAAAGGATCGCCAGTCTGCTTTGGTCCTCCTACCTGAGCTCACCTGCCTGTCCACCTTCCAATACCATCTGCACTAGAGAAAGAGCCACCAGATTCACACCAACCTCCAGAACCCCGGACACCACCCTCCCTGGGTCAAACCAAGCCTCTACCTCCATGAGTCCTCTACAATTCTCATCAGTGCCAGCCTGTTTCTCACTAGTGTCCTCTTCCTTCTCAACAGAACTAGTCACAATCAGCCTGCCAGCACCAACTCTGCATACACTGCACCTTGACATTAAAACTTCCTTAAAACAAATCGTCTGTCTCCGTGGTTGCCCTGATTCAGAGTCAATCTTTCCTAAACATGACACAAGATGGCTCTTTGGCACAGTGGCATGATGGACAGCCATTGCATGACAGAGCTAGACACATAGATACTCTCATTATCAGAGAAGAGTTGATGTCTGATCGGAAAATAATTTTATAACAGGTCAAGTGTCATGATGTTTAAGATGGACAATTACTCCTTTTCTAACTGGAACGAGGGCAGTCTTGGCACTGCTGGAGGACATTGCAAATGAAAAACAATTTTTTTTGTTTGTTTTGTTTTTCAGAGTTCATACTGCCCTGCCGGCACATAATTATAAGAGTGTTATTAGCAGCTTGAATGAACCAGGGTAAATATTTAAAACTGGACCCGGTGTAACAGAAGAAAACTAGGAGGAACTCTGCTTTGCTGCTTTCAGTTCAAGTTCTTCTGTTCTTTCTAACAAGAGATTTTAGAGGGAATATCTGTTATTTTTAAGTGACGCTCTGAATTGTTTGAGATTTAAAGTACTTCACTACATTAATGTGGTGACAGTCCTTCTAATAGAAATATTGAAGACATATCCAGGTTATTACTATGCTATGGTCTACATTCGAATGATCTGCATTGAACAGTTAGTTAATTTAATGCAGCAGCTAAACGGCTGTTTTGATTTGAAGGACATTGTAGGAAAAAACCAGTAAATTTTAACAAAATCCAGTTTTTAGTCTCTGGTGTCAATTAAGCAGTCGCTGGTTTGCTATAATTCTCTACAAACACTCTTCATTGTTTGCAGACAAGGTGTCTGTTACTAAGATTTATTTGAACACATAGTCTGCACCTTCCAGGTATTTATATTTATTTGCAAACCTTTTCAGGGATGAGGACCGGTCATTTCAAGCAGTCCTTGCAGCTGAGTAAATTTCCTCCAAATTAGGATTTATAAAGAAAAAGAGTTGGTTGTTTATACCTACAGCCAGTTTCAACTGTTTATATGCTGAGCTAAAAAAAAAAAAAAAAAAAAAGCTGCCTTACAATCTATACGGTTAGTAAAAAAATGTAAAATTGACTTTGAATGACAGGTTACTACATCGATCCTCATTCCATGTGGTGATTTTAATTAAACATCCAGGCTAGAGCTTAATGGTAAATTCATCTGCAGAGCTGCATGCTGGAAATTATTTTAGAGAACACATTTTTCAAGGACATATTTGCCTCCTCATGGAGCAATCTTGACTGGAGCTTGAGCAGCTTATGGCAAAGCTTCTGCGATACAGCCTCTCTATTTAATTTAAGGTTTAATGTAGCCACGGCTGACTGGATAAATTCACACATCCATGCTGAAGCCACTATTTCCTGACAGTTTGCTGGCAGATCCAAAACATGGAGGAAAAAAAACAACTTGACACTTAACCTTGTCTTCATCTCACATTTCCCTGTAATTTACTTCCCTATTTATAGCTCTGAGCACTTGTTGACTCAGATAGGACAAAAAAAAAAAAAAAAGGATGATTATTAAGATTTTGTGAAGGCAAGAACATTGAGTCTCTGGATATGATTCTAGGAGAAGTGTTGCTTTCTTGGTTGCCAGCACCCTTGCCTTTAGGGCACACCCACTCTATGTCTAATCCAATACATAGAAAAATCATTTATCTTGATTGAACAAAAGACAAAACTGGCTGCTCTGCAATCAGCTGCTGCTGAAACCTAAAGTCCAGCTTTTGCAAGGCCAGATGTGCAGGAATGACCATTCCTACTGGGTGTGCATAACAGCTGGAGGTGCAGGTTGATGGATCCATCACCTATATCACATCAAGCTGGAGCTCCAGGCTTGAACGGCTACGATTACAGGTGCAGGTGTCCTTTTACACCATTTACACTGATTGAAACCTGAGGCGAGCACGGCAAATGTCATTTGGCTCCTAAACTGTATCTTGAGGTGAGCGTCTCATCACGTCTTGGCCAGGAGCAGCAGCGGAGGATGGGGGAGGGGAGCCACAAACAAACTCCATACAATCAGAGAGAGAGTGAGAGAGTGAGAGAGAGAGCCAGGCCTATCAGCAGCCCACCGACAAGTGCAACAACTTTGTCACACTATTAATATCTGCGCTGTGACCGCAAACAGCCGCCAAACTGTGCGCGCAACGCGCAACTGCCCCGCACGCAGATAAAAAGGGAGGAAAAAAAGCAAACCGGGAATCCCACGATTATATTGCAGGCTGCAAAGCGATGGGTCTATTTCCATCTACTAGCGCAGTGTCTCATTCCTGATCGCAGCACAGAGAGAAAAGTGACAGATACTTCACCGCTTCAGATCCTTCGGCCGCTTGTGTGCGCATCGGGCAGCTGGAGCGACACCAGTGGCTGCGGACAGCGTCATGGTTGGGACGCGCAGGACTTTACCAACAACAAAGAGGACAGTCCGCTCTCCTCTCCATGGCTGTCTGAGTGTCTGTGCGGAGCTGAGGCTGAACAGCAGAGGATGCACAGCGCCGCGCCTGTTCGCTGCACAAACTGCCTCTCACTTTCCTCCCCTCTCTCTTTTTGCCCTTTTCCACTATTCTTCTAATGAACATGCCTAACCCTTTCAGGATGGATCAACTGAAGATGGCATGGGTAAATTTGCATTTATTAAAACACCAATTCCTTGTATTTTAAAAAGTAGTAAGCCTAACCTAGAAAGGAGTGTAGTTTTAATTCAAACTACTTAAATTTGGACCCAAAATTATAGAAAATTCCTCTAAAATAAACAAGCTTTTATCAGAATTACCTTCTGGCTCTAGAGATTGTAATTGTGAAGGTATTTTGGTTTAAATTAAGATAAAAATCTTAGTTTGTTTTTGTTTTTTTATCAAATATTAGATCCAGACCTCCTGTAGAACAGAGGCGTAGCCAGAAAGTGGATAGGCATCGGAACCTCAGGGTCAATCTACACTGTTCAAACAGGAACAAGCACAAGGTCCATATTTCTAAATAAAGACAAACTATAGTTTCCTACAGCTTTTGCTAACAAACAGATGCATATATTTAAACATTTGTCTAGATAAAAGGTATATTGAATAAAATTCTTTCAGGTTTGAGTTGGAGTGAACATCTTTTCCATCGTCATTACTTACCTACTTTTATCAATATCATTCTGCAATAAATTGATATTTACAAGTACTAATATCTACATAAATTAGTAATTTAATAGGTGTTTATTTAAAAAAGTTATTTACAGTATCTATGATTTCACTGAAGACTCTTAGACGACTTGCAGAGACACATAATTTTCCTCTTTACGGCATATAACACAAAATCTAGTTCTGAAAGAGCATGAATTCTGTAATAATCATCTCTAATATTGGTATATTAACCCTGTAATGCCAAATGTATCATATTTGATACATACGGTTTCTGAAATGTTTTGCGTCTGACACCTTTTGCATAATTTAATGGTAAAAACTTTGCTCAAAATCCTATTGTACACAATCAGATATACCTGATAACAGAGGGCAGAAGACTACATAAAAAATTATCTTGACTTATTGCATAGTAATTAATTATTAATATCAAAAATGTATTTCTGTTTTTTCGTTTTACATATTTTGTTAAAAGGCCAAATAAGGAATTCAAACCAAAAAAAAGTAATTTTCGGTTTTGTTTTATTCTTGGATCGGGCTTTAAAGGGTTAATGTGCACAATTAACCACAGTGTTTTTGTTGTCAAGTAATTGTTAATATATATAAAATTAAAATCTTTTGAAAATTCTACTTGAGAGGAAAAAAATGGTAGGGGTGGCCACAGGGGTGGCCAATGATTGGTGAGCTAGATGGCCCCCCATCTAGCTCCGCCCCTGCTTATACACAAATCTGTGCAACCAGTTAAGCTTTCGTAGACTACATTAAAACATAAACCATCATTATTAAATAAATTAAGCAATACCTTTAGAACATCTTAAGGTACATTGGGCACAGTTTGGCCAAAATCATCCCCAAGCCCCAGTTAGGTTGTAAACATGATTTTTACCTATATAATAATAACTGAATGAAAAAAAAAATCCAACTATAGCTAAAATAAAGGCAGTGTCAAAATTCTGGGGCTGCATCATTAAAAAGGATTCAGCAGAGTGGACTGAACAGAGATTGTGCAGAGATTCAGGCATCGTCTCTGAGAGACAAGGGAGAGGAGATCTCATGCTGGTGGGGAGCTGGTAGCCGTAGCCCTTTGAAAATGAAGTAAATCCTTAATAATCTAAGCAGATATCTGAGTTGTATAAAACCACTTTCTCAAAACACATTGGAAGTTTATTTTGGTGACAAAGTGTTATACACATTTTCAGTATTGTCCGCCATTTGCTTCAACCTACTATAAATCATGGGATAGTGTGAGCAATGAACTATCCACCACAGCCATCCTTTAAATATTAAAAAAAGGACATATTTGTTTACCACATGCAGTGGTGAATTGTTACCAGAAGGGTCAGGGCTTTTTTCTTGGGGCCAAAAAACAAAAGAACTTCAAACACAAAATAAGAATCCAGGGAAGAGCACATGCTTTAGGATATTGAGTGAGCCACAAATCCAAGGTTACAGACCCTGATCTAACAGATGAATACTATAATCCTATCATAAATCAAGTGAAGCTTTAAGTTTTGCTATAATTTCCAGATAATTGTCAAAGTACATTGTAAAGATGAAATATAAGATTGGTCCATCTATCAATCCATTTTCCGTCACGCTTATCCCTGCTAGGGTCGCAAGGGGTGTTGGTGCCAATCTCCAGCTGTCACCAGTCCATCGCAGGGCAACACAGAGAAAAACAGGACAAACAACCATTCATGCACACAATCACACCTAAGAAGAATATAGAGAAGCCAATTAACTTAACAGTAATGTTTTTGGACTGTGGGAGGAAGCCAGAGTACCCAGAGAGAACCCATGCATGCACAGGGAGAGCATGCAAACTTCATGAAGAAAGAGCCCGGGCTGGGAATCGAACCCGCAACATTCTTGCTGCAAGGCAGCAGTGCTACTCGTGTTACGTTCAGACCGCACGCACTAGAGGCAGAAAAACAGCTTTTTTACATGCAAAGTCGATGGTTGACACCCATCTAGTTGCAGCAAAAAGATCCTGCAGCAGGAAAGCAGCAGCAACTGGAGTTGGAAAAATTTAACTTTTGCTGCTTGACGCAACATATCAACCAATCAGAGAAGCTGATCTGGGAGGTGGCAGGGAGAGAGACACGGCACTGCTGATGCAGAGCGCTATGATCACTGATCATCAATGTTGAGGGAAACTAGAATCCCAGCAGCATAAATGCAAAGAAAACACAAAACAGGTTGAGCACCAGTTTGTTTTAGAGGTATTTAAGACAATCTTCATTCCAGCCACAGGCTGCACCAAATTACTTCACAGATTATATCTTTCAAAGATGCTTTGATCCCTTCGTTCATCTTCCTATGGTGGTATTCTCTTTTCCTGTTATGTTGTGCAATCAAGCTGCCATTGTCACACATCTCACAACAAGGAAGCATTTCTTTAGAAACTTGTGATGTCATTCAAAAAGTGTAAAATCAGAGGAGTCTTTTAACTTCAAAAGAACAAAGGATTTCATGTTTATGTTGCAATCTGTTATCAGTTATAAATCAGGCCACCAAAGAGGCTGAAAAATGCAGGATTAAAAGCCTCCTGTATGCAAACCATAAGTTAATATACACAGTTATTTTTGTTTAATCCTGTTAATGTGTCACTAGCATCAAGGCAAGGGAAAACTTTTTTTTGTTTGCAGCTCATCTTCAGTAAAAAATAATGTAATGGCAGTGTCAAATGTAATGTAATACTGTATATAATATACTAGTTTGATCTTTTATGTCTGAAAAGATGCCATTTTTTTTTTTTTTTTTTATAAAAACACAAAATAACAAATGTATTTTGTAATCATATCAAAGTTAAAACAGCTATCTTAACATTTTGGAATAATCTTACAGAACTAAAATAATTGGCTTAAAAAATAGCACCTTTAACAAGCAGGAAGAATATGATCAAAGTCTAGTTTAGTGATTTTCAATGTGTCTGAGTCTCTTTAGAAGCACTTGATCCTGCCATCATTGTGACAACTTTGTAATACAAAGACCAAAAGAGCAACGGCAGGACAACCCTTTTCTGTTCTTTGATATCAGGAAGTCAAGATAAGCTCTCAAATCCTTTTACTGAATCGAAAATGAAAGGCTGATGGAACATCACAAAACATAAAGATGTCTCAGATCACATTCTTCTATGGAATGAATTAAAAACAGCAGCAGGAACAGGAAACATCTGGAAACAGATTACAGTGAGACCTTGACTTAAAATATTTATACAATCAGAAATAGTGATTAGTGTTGCACTGATACAGATACCAGTATCGGTCGAGGCCCTGATACTGCACTAAAAAGGTGGTATTCTTGTGGACTCCCTTTGTATTAATCCTTTTCCTGCTTCACAAAGGTAGGCGGCAGCTTGACAAAGCCATGATGGCAATTATTTTACATCCAAGTAGTATGCAGTTCTTTATATATACACACACATCAATTTCAAACAGAAGATATCGGTATCGGCCAATACTGCACAGCCAGGTATCGGGGCCAAAAAATAGCATCGGCGCAGAACTAATAGTTATAATACTAATAGTAACTTTTTGACAAGTTGAACCATCTGACTCGTTTAAAAAAGATAAAGAAATAAGGTAGAATCTCCAGCGTTAAACCGTACAATTAACTTCAAAGATATATACCAAAAAAGAAAAAGTGTTAAATGAGTATGACTCTGCCTGTTTACATTTTGATTAAAAGTTTGCAAAATGATGATGGGGAAAAGGCTGATTTGAGTGTAAATCAATGATTTTTACCTTGGGTTTGATTGTCATCCTCATGTATCCTTCACGTCTGAATCCTTTCAATGTCGATTCCATTTTAAGGTTATTTAATGCACTATCCTGCAGTAATAATAAAGCCAGTCTAATTTCCCAGCATTGGAAAGGTCTGACTGGAGCAGAATATTTCTGTATTACTTTATATGTGCAGTCCAATTCTTCCTGTAAGATAAAAAAAAACACAATCTAAATTCAGTTCACACAAGCCAACATTTAATGTTTTCACATTACCTATAGAGCAAACCCTGAATTACAGAAAAATGGATAAAGTAGTATGCTGCCCCCTGCTGATCTAAAGCTTTAACAACAACAGTGGCTCCAGATGAAAGAGTTTGCAACTCAGTTAAAAGCCCAGCTCCAGCTTTCAATGTCATTGTGTCCTTGGGCAAAACACTTCACCCACATTACCTACTGATGGTGCAATGAGGCCTTGATTCTGTCGGTGAGCCGCCCAATGTAGCTATAAACAGTATGCGAGTGTGTGCATGATTGGGTGAATGACTGAATGTAAGGTAAAGCACTTTGGTGTCTATATAAGTGCGGGCCATTTACAATTTACAGGCAATTTAGTTCTTACAAGATATATAAATAAAACATGTAACAGGTTCCATTTTTCACAAAAACAAAAGAAATAACAAATAACTGTTGTTTCCCATCTAAATATACAGAAAGAATGAAATCTAGATATACAGGGCTTTAATTGCCACGAAGCATATTTCCTCTTCTATATATATATATATATATATATATATATATATATATATATATATATATATATATATATATATATANGTATGTATGAATCCATTTCCTTCAGATTTTGATGCTTGCTTTTAACTTAAGCACAGTGTCAGGTCTAGATACCTAAGTTCTTTCGGTTAACAGCCATTTTGCATTTGTACCTACAATGTAGTATACATGAAAGTAGCATACAATTTATAAACAGCGGGCTTTGACCACAGATTGAGAACTGATTAAAAGTAGATTTCGTTTCTTTGAAAAGTTTAAATATGAACTGAAAACATAATTCTGTCTATGAAATTATCACATTTCCAAAGAGTATTCCAAAGAAGAAATCTATATTTTATTAGTTGACAATAAGTTAGAGGGGGACATCAACTAAGCTACTGATGTAAAAAACTTCATGGTCTTTGGCTTTAAGCGCTTAACCCTGTCTCTGTCCTCGACAGCTTTTAGCCAAACTTTTACTTTGACTAACCTTTTGCTCTGTCTCTCATCTGACTTAAAAACAACCTTAGAGATTATCTGTTTAGCAGTGTCTCTTACAGAGATGAAGCCACTAAACTAAACCTTTACATCAAAAGTTCCCCTGTCCTAGTGGTTCACTGTTCTTTTTGTGTGTATTCCCGGTGTTGTCAAAATCCCAGTAAGTCATGGCAGGTGGCCTTTCACACTGAGCCTTATTCTGTTGAAGGGTTGTCCCTGTTAAAGGAGTGTTTTTCATGTTTAGTATAAGGGTGTGCTGCAGTCTTCAACATACTGCAAGTCAATGACTCAATGTTACCATAAATAGAACATTTTTTTAAACAATCTGTATGTATGGTTTGATTGATTTAAATTGGTAACATGACTTGAGACCACATATGCTGTGAATAGGCATAATCCAGATAAGATATTTGAATTACATTTCTTTCACTGCTTAAAAAGATGACACAAATGAATGATGACACAAAAAATAATGGATTTTCTTTTTCTAGGGAAGGAAGTAGGGAACATCAGCAATGAGGTTCTATATTTATATATATATATATATATATATATATATATATATATATATATATATATATATATATATATATATATATATATATATATATACCTCAAGAATAACACTGATCCAGGGTGCAACTTTGTGATGAAAGTTGGTGGGGACACCCAAATGAACATAACTATAATAAGATAAAAAGCCTAAAATACTTGAAGTCGAATTTTTTCCTGGTGCTGCATCATGACTGAGTCCTCCTCTATCGTCCATCAGAGATAGAAAATCAATCTAATTTTGACAGATAATGGTGCAAAACTGGTTAAAAACATCAAAGATAAAGCTAGTGTTGCAAACAACCCATCCAAACTCTTGCCCCTTAGACACAAAAGTAAAAGTAACCTCACTTTTCAGAATGTTTATTTATTAGATTATAAGACTATAATGACTCCTTCCTCTGTGATCCAATTGATGTTGAATCTCGAAATGCATTTTAAAATGTGATCTGCTGAACTCTGAAACTACCCAGATCTTCTGTGATTGTTCTTTTTCAAGATAATATCCCAGGAAACTTTCTAACTTAAATCAAAAAGTTACATGTCCCATATCACAAATTTTAATACATGATATTTCACTTTGAATTAAAATGTTTCACAATTTTTACAATTACTTCACATCATGTTACAAACCATAAGTATTAGGCCAGTTCCAGGTTTATGTATTATGTGAAGTTCCTTTCAGTATCATTAGCTCCTAGTCAACCATGCAATAGAAGCTAAGAATCCTAATTTGGATTTCTATGCTGATAATTATTTCTGAGATTATTCCTTTAGGATTGGCATTGTCATGGTTTTGGTTATGTTATGCTTTATTTTGCTCCTTGTTTTCTAGTTTTTCTTGGTTTAATTCCTATTTTGTTGTAATTTCTAGATTTTTGTTATTTCTCATGTTGTCCTCTGTTGCCCTCTAGTGTGTGTGTGTGTGTGTGTTCCTTTCACCTTGGCTCCCTCGTTGTCTCCTCTCACACCTGCCCCTTGTCAGCTCGTTAGCCCTCCCTTTGTCTCTGTCAGCTATATATGCTCTCCCTCTGCTCTCACTCTATGTTGGTTTCTCTGTTGTTGCTGGTCCTGTCATCGCTGCAATTGTCTCCCCTCGTCTCTCCCTGGCTCCTTCTACAGTACGTGTTTTCCCTTGATGTCTCCATGGTTCTGGTCTGTTACTTTTTAGTTGGATTTTTTTAAATGCCTTTGTTAATCATTTTCATAATTAAACTACAAGTATTCACATCAGCACCTCTGCTCTGCATTTGGGTCCTCCAAACCTCAACCAAACCCTGACAGGCATACTTCCTACTCCGGCTGAGTTGGAAGGATGTTGAAAGAAGTAAAAGGCCTCACAACTGTTCAAAATGTGGATAAAACGTCAGTTAAAGGAAAGTGTAGAAGTTGCTTTGGAAACTGATCATTTGTAAGAACAAAAGAAAGACATTTAAAAAAAAATTAAACTAGTTGCAAAAGAAATACAAGTCAATCAAATCAAAGTTTATCAAAATCCAATCGCTACACCGTCACAGAGGTTAACATGTAAAACAAAAATGGATTAGCCACTTTGACAACTTTTTAACAAGGATCAACTTTAGAGTTCTTTTTAAACTTGTTAATGACTCTGAAACTACAGATAACAAGAAACACACTTACTCCCAATGGTGGATGATTTTCCCATCACAGATTAAATGTTTTCAAATTAAAATCTAGATTTGATATTATTTTAAAAGTGCATTTATGGTATCCTAGATAAGGATTTATAGATAAAATTTATCTGTGTCAAAAGTAACATAGAATTTCTAGTATGAAAGTTAAATTTTTAAATTCATAATGAAATTAAAATTTTATGGAGGTTTAATGGGTGTCATGATTAAAAATCTGCCTCTAAATCAATTACAGAATACTGCTGTGATCCTTAGGTCATCAAGAAGTTGTTGTGGATGTAAATGGCTGTAAGCAGAAAGGATGGAGTTGACTGTCTTACACAAAACAGCACAAGATTTGCTAAGAGACAATCTTGTTTTAAAGATGCAGGAGTGATTGGAATTTCTATAGGATTAGCCCAAGGAATAATTTTCTCTTGTAGAACAGATGACTGTTGAAATGCTATTATTGGACTAGAGAATGATGCATGATTAAAATCACCAGTTACTGTCACAAATGAATTATGCCTGCTGCCTAATATAAGCTACTATAGGCTGAAAACATATGCATTGTCAGTAACAGTAGATAGTAGAATGTAAACCATGGCCAAAGTAACACTGAAATTCTGGTAAATAATATGGACATAATCTTAATGCTAAAGGTTCAATATCTGGGCTCTAATGACATAACTTCCCAGTACATATCCTATATGAGATCTCTTATTGCTACATACACTGTCAACACGCATCTATTGCTTTTGTATGCCTTCTTTAATTAAATCTATGTTTGCTCATATGGTCAGAAAGCTAAACAGAGCGATGCTGGAGCTGGGAATATGATCTAGTTGCCATGTTATAGTGAAAGATGTAATACTTCCTCCTTGATAATTTGTCAATTTGTTTGTAAAATAATTTATATTGTCAATAATGACTGATGTGAGAGATGGCATACATTTATTTCTTTTATCTCTTCTCCTTGTTTATAGTCTGCATTGTTTGTGCATTCCCTCTCTCTCATCTAAGACTCAGGGATTTAGTTGAACTATTATTTCAGCTTTTAAGGTATTAAAAAGCAGCTCCTGGTTGTAAAAAAAAAAAAAAAAAATTCCATGATTATGCATTATAACCACAACAAACAAGAACCAGAAACAAACTTTGATACACAAACAGATGTGATCAAATCCTTTTAAAGGCGTCATAACCTGGTATTTTACAAATGCAGTCATCCTGAAATGGTATTTAAATTCTTATTAAATTGTTTTAAACTAAGTAGATCTCATTCTAACCCCTTGTCATTGTCCTTTTTTCTAGCAATGGTACGTAGGAGAAGTTGACTTTTGCAGTCAATTCTGTCCTGCCTCGATGTACTATAGGTCACTTGCAATCCGTAGAGTAAGTCACTCGAATGTGTCTGGTGGTTAGCCATCTTGTGGCGGGCAGTTCAGTTTGTGACCCAAAGATATTTTTATGAACCAGTTTCAGCGGGGTCTGACATATTGTGGATCCTGGCCTGTGGGTAGTCACTACCTGACCTACAGTATCCCATTGGCTCCTTTGCGCATGCGCAACCAGATATACGTACATCTGGTTTACCCTCTAATTTTAGTTCAATCTGAAAAACTCACACAGAGAGAAAAGATAATTAGAAGAATTTATTGATAAGAAAGTATAGTCTTTGGCGCTCAGACCTCGGCAGGAACATTCATGCTGAATTATGCTTTAACATGCATGAGTAGATGAATGTGAATAGGGATGTTCCCCCCCGGGCCTGAAACTGGTGGTGGTTTAATCCGAGCTGGTTGACAAGGTGATCTGCTGGGCAGAATTGTGGGACTAGAAGACTGAGGGAGCTGACGCCGGGGCTTCACTCAGACTCGGGATAAAGAGGTCCTGCTTGGTGATGCAGGTACCGTGAACTGTCCATGATGAGCAAGCATGAAGCGACAGTGGAGAGGAAAAACTCCCCTTGGGAAGAAACCTCTGGCAGAACCGGGCTCAACATGGTGGTCTTCTGCCGGACCAATGCGATGAGACGAGGGATGGTGACAACTGGGATTAATACTCTCTGATGAGGTTGAGGTGAAGTCGTGTCATGGAGGACGATTCAGCTGCGATGGCGGAGAAGGGGATGGAGGTGTGTGAATTGTCGTCTGAATCGAAGTCCAACATTGCGATTGCAGGATAGCGGCTGTGGTGAGATTTGAGGGAGTTTATAAAGTGGAAGCAGGACGCTGATTTGGCTTCATGGTGGAGTAGTTTGAAGCTGATTGGCTCGCTTCAGAGACGGATCGGCTTCTGATTGATGGAGGTAAGTCAGAGTTTCTTCAATTGAACTTCCGCTAGAGCTTCATTTTGTAAAAAAGACCTAAATTAAGTTTTTCCCTCCCTAAAAATAGTAAGCATACTACACTATAATATGTTAAAGGTTAATTATGTATTTCAGGAGAAAATAAATTTATTAAAATCCTTTTTGTTTTATTACTCTTCTGTGCCTGATCTTTACCGGAAATGGGATCCTACGCTACTTCCGGGAATTCCGAAAAAGTTAAAAAACAATCCACTAGACTTTGTATTTCAAGTTTGAAGACCTTTCGCTTCCCATCCAGGAAGCTTTTTCAATTCAAAATGTCAGAATTCTGCTACGTTCAGACTGCTCGCAATAGAGGCAGCAGAAGCAGCTAGTTTACATGCAAAGTCTATGGTGACGCGCATCAAGGAGCATCAAAGGGTCCTGCAGTGCGTTTCAAGCAGCGCCTTATGAGCTTTGATTGCATTTGAGTTCTGTCAAACCGACTCCTCTGTGACAGCACAAACCAGCCTAGAGTGACTGAACAGGAGGAGGTTATATGGGAGAGAGAAACAAAGACCAGGCTAATTAGCAGATTGGGAGCAGGTGTGAATAGAGGCCAGAAGGGAGCTAGGGAAAAGGAGGCTGACACAAAGGGGCAAACAGGAAATATAGAAGACCTCCAATGCAACCAAACATACCTAGAACGCAAGAATGAAAAATAGGACCAATTAAAACTCAGAGATAAAACTAGAACAAAATCAAAACCATGGCACAGGTCAAGTAACTTTTTATCCAGTTTAATGGAGTGGGAACAACCAAATCGTTTTTTCTAGTAACAAATCATGTTCTACTAAGTGAAAAGCACCCCTTAAATCTAGAAAAACACTGAAGCCATGATTATTTTATTGTCAACAATGGTTAGACACTGGTCAGTTGACAACTCTGTCAATTTCATTGATAATAAAATCAGTGAGGAAGTAACCATGATACAAAACACCAATGAGATTTTACCAGCCACTGGAGAACAATAATGATCATTTCCAAAGCCCAAAGTCATATTAAGTTTTCTCTCAGCAGCAGGCTTTGCAAAGAGGCCCCAAAAACTAAGCTAAACTGAAACTAGTTACTCCAGGCACAATTTTCTCCTTATCATTTACCATAAAAATCAAGTATTTTCTTTGTAACTTCCAGTATTTTAGAGGATATTGTACCTATTGTCAGTCCTACTACATGAGAGTTATATGGTGGATTGTGGATTATGTGTTATTGTCTAGTTCTTCAAAAGAGTTGAATGGTCCAAGCATGCATCCGACCAGCAACGTAAAGTTTCTGAAATTAATGTACAGTTTAAAAAAATCATACAGTACATGCCGCTTTGGTAATTGATGATCATTTACCTCTAAGTGCTAAATTCCTCAAATATGCTGTACTTATCAATGAAGATAAATTGATTTACTATGTGAGGGTCATTGATAGTAAAATTTATTAAATAGTATGAAATGGATGTAGGTTGGGATGAGATGGCATTTCTTGGAGGCTAAATAGGATGTTGGTTACTTTACTGGGAAGTCATTTTTAACTTATAGAGCAAATGTAGCTATAAACGATTCAGCGAAGAGAGTCAATTCTAAAGAGCCCTTCTATATAAAGTAGAAGTAAGACCTCATAACCCATGGCCGACAGAAGTTTTGCAGCATGAAAAAAATATATTAGAAGGGACATATCTGTTTTTTCTCTTTAACATTCAAAGGCAATAAAAAGGTCTAATATTTTATTAAGTATTGCTTGTCTTTCGTGTATCACTTTATGTATTCACAAAAGTTCCTAGAGGATTATTAGTTATTTTGAATGTTTACTCATTGTTTATATTTGTTTGTATGAATACTATTTTACTGTTTGGCTGACCAAAAGAACAGATTGTAAAAAGGTTTTCTTTAAAATAATACATCTCAGAAGGTATTCCCACAATCAAAAAACTAGCTGCAGTGAAGAACTACCAGAGGACACCTCCGTGTTGCCCAGTCCCATCCATTCAGTGCTCTTTTGTTCCACCTGTCACTGTGGATTAAGATTTCCTTGTAGGGTTTGGCTAAAATAAGCTTATCTCAGCCAAAGACCTATTGATGGACAAAAGCCCATTAAACCAGTTAAAAGAAAGCTATTATTCTACGTCATCACATCTGAGATCTCCATTCTTCAATCTAGCTCTCTTCAAGAGAAAATAACATTGTTTGGCAAATCACAAAAATAAACTTACAAGAAAAGCAAAGCCCTAAAAGTAGTTGCCCTAATAAATAAATAAAATGACTCAGACATTTGGGTTTTATTCAACTATCGAAAGAATCTTAGACTTATTCAGAGTTTGTTGGAGGTTCTGAAAATGATTGTAAGATTAATATTAAACTCTTTTAGAAAATGTATTCTGGAGTCCCTTCCCTCTCCTTTGTCCAGGCTAAATAGATCATGACTAAAGTCTTGGAGTATTTTAGTTACGGAGGATTTAGCAATTTGAATACTTTGAGTTTCTCGATACTGAATATAATGGTTTTGTTATACCTACGTACATAAAAAAGAATAGCCCATAAAAGGCCTTCTCATAATCCTATGCTGGTTTATGCTAAGGGATACAACAAATGAGGAACATCTGCCAGTTTTGAAAAAAATCATATCTTTATTCATAATAGTTATATGTCTATTCATGAGATATACAGTTGTTTGTTAAATCCTAATAAATCACTTTGTATCGACGAGAAGAAGGATGTAGACAAACACCAAGGCACTGTCATGAAAAACGTTACTAGACACAATAGACTGATGCACAAAACAATGGAACGTTGCTGTTCGGAGCAGTTTTCATTCCTGAAAAAGGAGTCATCATACCTGCTGATGTACCACGCTATGTTCTTCATGGCTGTGATGAGCTGAACTGCATATAACTCCCAGCACTTCTTTAGAGATCGGATACAATCCTTCATAGTCTGCAGTGAAGAATGACGCCATCTTTAATCACAACCGAGTCCATCTGTCGATGGTTGTTCCCTTTCTAACTGCTCTGTCTCTGTTCCAGTCCCTCTGTTCCAGCGTTTCGTTTGTTGTGGGGGGGGGGTTCTAATTTTCCATCCAACATCAAACCAGCATATCGACACGCTCATGGGCCGCCCAGCAGGGGGGCAGCTTGAACATGTTGGGCTGGCTGTTGTCCTTTTTGTCTAGTTGCAGATTAAGGCAACACATTTATTTAAAAAAAAAAATCGAAGAAAAAAACAACAAAGGGAAAAACCTGTTTTTTCGTCATTAATTTCAGCAAGGGTGGTCTAAAAAAACTTCAAAATGATTTTCCTTGAATGTCCTGAAATTACATGGTCTTAAGAATTTCTTTTTCTGTTTCTATTTGATTTTTGTCTTTATACAGACTGGATTTTTAGGTCTTTTTAACTGAAAGCACAACTGCACTGTAACCAAAATTATGATAATTTGGACCTTTGTCCAACATGAAAAACAATCATTTGTTACTTTAGTGTTGAAGTCTATGAATGAAAAAAAGTCAACTTATATCAAACTAATATGGCACAAAAACAATTAAATGACTCCAATTGAAGCATTTAAAGTGAGATCTTCTTTTTGTTTCTCTTAATATGTTTTATGTCTGAAAACCTAGACACACAACAGCAAATAATAAGATAAAGAAATGTTTGTAAATCACAGATTAAAGGATCCTGTAGCCCTTCCCTTGCTCTTATATTGTGATGCATCCTGTGGCTTGTTCCTGTGGCCTGCCTTGATTGGGTGTACCCCTGTTTGCTGCCCAGCAGTGTTGCTCAGGGTTGGGCAACTTTAGTTTATATCAAAGCCTGAGTTTTAGGAATTTTGGAAGAATGCAAGGACCAGATGCTTGTCAGCGTAATCAATTTGTAGTTATGGTCAACAAGAATGAGAAACAGCAACTAATTAGTAAAGATAACAACTAGTTCCAATTTTAAAAACAAAAATATAAATGCATTACAATTGACCAGAATTTGGAACATTTCTTGAAACACCAAAAATGTATATGTCATAGTTTATATGTTTCAAATTGTTCAAAATGTCTTGAATGAGATTGTGAAAACAGCTTGTTTAAATTGATTACTGCCGTAAAAAGAAGAGAGAAGGGCAACAAGGATTTTTTGTAAAGAGGGGGAGCAAAAAAAATATTCTTTTTGTATTGTAGCTTCATCAGCTGCTTACCTTTCAACTAAATTTCACACTTGGGTGTCGAGTTGTGACCAGGGTCAGGACTGCTTCTTACAATAACCAGTTTTTCTCTGCAAGCTGTTTCAGCAAAGACCATGTGGTGTCTGGTGATGTCAATCACATTCATAAATGTTTTATTCCTGGCACTCACATTTAAAAAAAAACATACAGAAATATCTGGAATCATAACTTGATAAGGGGAAAAAGTTTTTAAGAATGATTTGCACACATCATTATACCTACTTGGTTATTAGTTGATGCTATGACTTTTTTCTTATGCCGACGGACACAAATATTGAGTTTTTCTAACCAAATATATTTTCCAGAGTTATGTAGTGGGAACTGAGTTGTCATAATATCTTGTTTTGCTTTTATCAGAGGAAATGTGATGTACACGACATTACAGAAGTCCCTCAGAAACATTAAATACAAAATATTTTTATTATTTTCAAATGGAATTAAGTTGTGCTTGCAAAGTGGTATGTAAAGTGAAGAAGATAGATTATATATAATTTGATAAACCTTTTATAAATACAGATCTGAAAACTGGCCCATGCCTATGCCCTTTTGATAAATTAAATCCAGTATTATGCCTTTAAAACCATATGTGTCATTGCCGCATTTAATTTCCCTTTGTGGTTAATAAAGTATTTTCGAATTTAATTAAATTTATTTGAATTTAGAAATCACTATATTAGAGCATATTCTATACATACTAGG